CAAGAAAAGTTGCATCTTCTAAATAAAAATAAAAATAAATCAGGGAACAACTTGTATATACTTATAAACCTTTATAGGTAGATTATAAAAAAACCTTCTTTTGGATTAAAAGGGTATATTACATAAGGAACTAATAAATGAAATAAGATGAGAAAGAGAAACTTTGCACTTTTGCAGATTGGCACATAGTCAAGTTGCAGCAGCTTAGTACTTATGCAGATTGACAATTATGTTGTAAAATTTCTTATTTAAGTTATAAAGTTCTTATTTATTCATTCTCCCCACTTAGGGTAGTAGACATATATATACCTCCATTATATTAGTCTTCTGACAAAGTATTTTTGAACATTGAATCTCTCGCTAGTAACAAAATGTTTTGTTTGCAAGTGTTAAAGCCATCATGCAATGTAACATTACTTGATACCTCTTCAATGAAATGAAACTATCTTTGAAATTCCCTCATTAGTTTCATATCTAGGAGGGCCCATGTTGCATGTTTCAGAAGTTACAAAAAGAGAATTTTTTTCTAAGTGTTTATCTTGTTTATATAATGTGTCAAGAAACTTGAGTGGCTCATTGCAATGTATAACACTACTTTCAAACTTACTCTTAAACATTAATAGAGTGGAATCTGCTCTAATGTCATTGAAAACTGATAAAGCAGCATTACCAATATCATCGCTCAAAATAACAACCGATCAATGATCAGCAATGTCTAAAGAAATTTCAAAAAATTCAAGGAAAACCTTTTTTTGTGAAATAATTACATTTGATTGGCAAGCTTTGAAAAACTATTTGAGCACTGCAATATAGGAAACTAATGATTATGAAATTACTGTTAACAGAAACAATTACTTCAGGTATAATGTAATAAGGAACACTGCTGCTTGTTCACAATGAAGAAACTAACAAAGGATCAATATATTCTATTGTTTTTTCAGGTTAAGTGTAAACTTGATAAGTAGAATTCTCTGGGAAACTAGGCAATGAATATTCTGAAAAATTAGGCAATAAATCGTTACGATTATCATTTAATAGATTACTATGTATTTTGGCTCAGGATTTTTATCAATGAAATCATTATCAATATTATGGTAACATTTTACATGTCTAATTAGCGACATATATGCTGTACAGGTACATTTACAGCCATTCTGTAAACATCTAATTGGATAAACAATTTTGGCAATACTATTATGACGTTGTAGATGATTTTGAAAAAAAATCAATAGTTACGTAAAAGTACCTCATATACAGCAAATAAACATTTTAATAACTTTTATCAAAAAAAAAAAAATTATATATATATATATATATATATATATATATATATATATATAATATATATATATATATATATATATATATATATACATATATATATATATATATATATATATATATATATATATATATATATATATATATATATATATATACATATTATAGCACTATAAATCATAGTTGCAATTGTGCATTTATTGCATATATATATAAATATAATTTTATTAGAGGGCTTTCATAGGTATGATAAAATTATTTAATACATTATTTTAACATGCAACATGACTAAAAATCATAATCATAACTAATAAAAATCATTATTGAATGATATATCATGCAATAATGATTTTCATTAGTTATCTCAGCAAAAAAAAAAAAGATATGTACATAATGTAAAGTATTCCTTTATGGTATACGTATACCAAAAAGGGTAGATTATATATATATACATATAATCTAGATTATATAGAACTAGATTATATGTATATACATATAATCTAGTTGTTAACATATGATAACTAAAATAGTTGTTGTTAATATAACTAAAATGCTGCTATTTTAACTAAAATAACATTATTATCATATTTATTTGATAATATTTATGTATTAAATATTTTCCATTTTGTTATAACATAAAAAAATTAACTTAAACAACATTAACATTAGGGTTTAACGTTAACAATATTATTTAACAACATTATTTACATTTATGTTAACAACATTACTTGTGTTATGTTAACAGATTACCAGTTAACTGCTAATGTCATGTGATTTTATTTAAACCTATATTTTACACATTTTTTTTAGACTAATGTTATTATTTTATATAATTAATGTTATTATGTTATAATTTTTATAACTTCATAATAATGTTGTTAACGTAACTAAAATAATTGTATTAACATTTTAATACAATATATATAAAATAATAACATTAGTCTAATTAAATAAAGTCACACAACTAATTCATGTAGTAATGTACTACAAACCGAAGGTCTTACCTAATTTTTAACAACTGAAAATCGATATTTTCCTCGCTTAACATATTTAATACGATATTACTAAAATATTACAAACCAAATATTTTTTTATGAAAAAGTTAACTATGTATGTGTTTAAAATTACCATGCAGCAATAAAAGTTAACTAAAATTTCAGTAAAACTGAAAATGGTTCTTAAAAAAAAACATGTCGCTAAAAACATGATTCTAGTCTCTTTTCCGAATAATTCGATACGAGAATCCAACAAAGTGCAACACTAAGTGTGGCTTTTTTTACGCATATAATGAAGTTTAATTTCATAATTACAAGTGTGGCTTTGAAGCGCACAAGTGTAGCCTTGAAGTACACTATTTGTGTAGCCAAAAAGACACTACACTAAGTGTCGTGTTTTTTGTCCACACTATTTTTAAGCGTGTAGGCGAAAAAGAGAAAAAAAAATGAAAAAATAGTATGCATAACTTCTACCCCAGTTTATTATAATATGTCATTTATTTGTGTTTATTATAAAAGTTGAAACTTCAGTCGCTAAGCCTATGTTTTTAAACGAAAATTTTCTTTCGGTATATTAAACAATGAACAAGCCTTTAAAAACATTTAAGTATAGAGACCGTATAAGGAGTGATTATAGGAATGGTCGGAGTGGAGCAGACTTACCATGACTTATGTTTTACAGCTAGTATTATAATAATCTTTTTTTTTTTTTTTTGGTTACTTTTTTTTATTCTTAGTTTTACATTTATTGTTTATCTTCATACAATATATAAATATATAAAAAAAAATTATAGAAATAAAAACAAAAACTAAAGAATGAGACTCAAGACTCAAAAAAGACCATTAGGCACAGAGAACCGCAAAAAATATCCAGAAATATCAAAATATCTAAAAAATAACAAATACCACATAATATATCCGATAAACTATTATAAGTTATATAATATGCGTATTAAGTATTCATTTGACATAAGAGTGTTGAAAATATAAAAATGTGTCTTCGATAGATAGAATGATTTCTTTTAGTTTTTGTTTTTTGAATAAAGGGTCAAGAAAAACTTTTTCAAAACTATACCAGTTCCAAAGAATCACATATTATCCACACAAAATGTGGCAGTAGCAGATTTTAATTATTTACCATAACCTGTATGCCCTGTATGTATTTTTTTCTTATATCAAAATCAACTTGGTTTAAAGGCACTGTAAACAGCCTCCTAGAGAATAATAATTAAATTTCACAAATGGAAGAATACCTAAAACATCTATACTTATTTCCATTTAATGTTCAGATCTACATCTAAATGTATTTTTGCATTATGCTATACTAAAAAAATATTTTAAAATTCTTCGAAAAATTAAGAAGCATTGCAGCCTAATTCATGTCCATATGGGTACTCTTTAACCTCAAAAAATTCGAGGCAATGAACAATAGGTATTAAATTAATTTGAGATGCTTAAACAATTCTCTCTAAAATATTTACTTTTTTTAGAAGTTTTGTAACCATTGTTACCATTAAAGCATATCGCATGAAAATATTTACTTTTTTTAGAAGTTTTGTAACTATTGTTACCATTAAAGCATAAAAACTTTTAAGTAAGAATTAATGTTCTTTAAGCCAATTTGTTAACAGAGGCTAATAATCTAAATGCTATCAAGTAGTGTCGCAACCCCGACAAGAAGATGTAGTTCTGTCGGTGGAACCTAGTGATTAATTTTATCTTCAGGCTTTTTATCGAAAAAAAACAAGTATGAGCCTTTTTTTTTTTGATAAAAAAAGTCTCTTTATCTTTATAAATCTTTAATTCATTCTTGTATCGAATACTGTTGCCATATTTGGGGAGAATCTTTGAATGATGCACGTTCACTATTGGACAAGGGGCAAAAATGCATTGTAAACATAATTAGATCTGCTCTAGTGACTAACCTCTAAAAAAATAGTTATAGCATTCTGAAAAATAAAAATATTTTTTAAATCAGTATACAATCACTATCTAAAAAACTTTTATTGAAATTCATAAATGTATATTTGACAACTTTTAATTTACTTATCAAATAACCTAATATTTATTCAAAAATCTCTTACGAGGAGAGAAAAGCCGAAAATGCACATAATGTCCTCTAGAGATTCTAAAGTTTGCTTTTTAATAGGTACGTAGGTTGTTTTAATAGGTACTTAGGTTGTTTTAATAGGTACGTAGGTTGTTTTAATAGGTACGTAGGTTGTTTTAATAGGTACGTAGGTTGTTTTAATAGGTACGTAGGTTGTTTTAATAGGTACGTAGGTTGTTTTTTTTAAACTGATCAAATAATAAAATGTTATATATCATTAAAAAGCAGTATTTTAAAGGTGAAAAAATTATGAAAATCAAACAGTTCTACAAAAGATTATAACGTTTTTAGTTGAAAATATTCACGGCGTTAATTTTTGTCCAAAAATCTCGCGACTGCACGTTTTTAAATTTAGTCATAGTAAGTGGAAAATAACTATAAAATTTCAATAAACAAAAGTTTTCTGCGAGTGGTTTCTTTCGGTACAGATATTTTGAGCTAAACTTGTAATTGATTTAAAATTAAACAAGAGCATTTAACAAGAAGTTCACACCTCCATTCGTACCAATGTCGGTTGATAAGCTGGCGTCAAACCTCGGGCCTCTGGGTTTCAAGCCAGAACTCTAGCCACTGCGCCATGGCTGCTCAAATATAATTATATTCCTCAAAAAACATCAATTATTAAAAATTTAATATGTCAAATAATTTTCTAAACTTTAAATTTGGTAAAAAAACCAGCATTAAACAATTCTGCAAAATAGTTTAAAGAAATTATGAAATATAAATAGTCTAATTAGTAAATGGAATAAAAAGCAAGTTCTTCTTCGTACATTGTGCTATGAAAAATATTTCAAATTGGCTTGTAGTTGGAGGTTCTTTTAAACTCGTTGCAGGAAGGTAAGTTTTCAAGTAAAGCCTGCCAATATCTAAAAAATAAAAATAAAAAGTTACTACTGTCCTTTCAATTTATCAAACATGTTCTATTTTCATTCAATTTTTAATTTCTAATGAAATCTTATATCTGAATTTAATTTTTTCCCAGCCGGCATTTGGTTTTAAAAAGACGTCTTTTGAACGTTCTTTTAAACGTTCATAATCGTCCTTTTAGGACCAAATAAACGGTATTTGGATATGCTGTGGATTTTAGAGCTAACTCTAAGCTTAACTTAATCTTAAACCAATAGAAAAACTTAATCTTAAACCAGTATAATAACTTAACCTTAAACCAAAAGAACTATAACAATAATAAACTATAACTACACCTAACTATAACTATAAATCTACACCTTATTTTATTCAAAATAAATGGAAAGCATAACATTAGAAAAGGTGCCTTTTTATTGATAATTTTAACAAAAAATATTTATCAAAAATAATAGAAACACATTATTTTTATATTTTGAATATGCTATATTTTTCATGAAGGTTATATGAAAATACCTTAAAATGATGTAAATAAAATCCAAGTCTTAAAAAGTATATTAACTATTTTGAATAAAAATAATTTCTGATGTTTACAAACACAAATTTTTTTATAAAAAGCCATACAACTAAGCAGCTTTGCAAGACTCAACGCTTGCAGTACCAATTTTGCAAGTCATTACATCTGTGGTACCTGGATATAATATATATCATGGCTTTACTTACCTAAGTAAACCTTAATCTAAACATCAAGATTTATAATAATCTGATACCTTATATCAGATTATTATAACACGATACTAAGTATATCTGATACCTTGTATCAGATGTTTATTAACTTTGAAAAACAAACTACAACTTGTTTTTGAAGATGCAACATATAAATGGATATTAATGAATATAAATAAGAGAAACATAAGATAAGCACCATTATTTGTATGAAAAATTGTTAACAGAAAACGTTAAAATCTGTGAAATAGAAAATTAAAAATAGAAATTTTGAAAATTTATTAACAGAAAACATTAAAATCTGTGAAAATAGAAAATTAAAAATAAAAAATTTTGTTAAAACTTTGGTTCATTACTAATATAATTTAACAGTATACGTCCCACCCAACATCAAGAGGTCACGTATGGATGAAACAGGAAAAGACAAACTTTTTTAAAGATAAGAGCATTCTTTGAAGCTATAATCAACATGGGTCTCGTTAAAAAGCTAAGCTTAAACTGAAGTAGAATATAAGTCATTATTGTTCATCTACTCCCTGGTTTCTTACCCACTTCAACCGTGAGCCGTTCCAATTTTTTCTTAGAACTCTTTATTTTACAGACATCCATATGCTAAATCAACAACTGCTGAATAAGATTAATAAAAATCAGTTTTTAGTTTAACCTTTTCTATAGTTTTCTATAGTTTTCTATAGTTGAACAAATTTCTATATATTATTACACAAAAAGATCTTTTCTATGGATCAGAGTATGAATTGATACAAAGGAAAGATATCACATATGCTTCAATATAGCCTAGACAAACTTAATTATTGACTGGGTATTAAATTATGGTGTGTTTCAGACAGCACTAATTTATGTCAACTTAAAATTTATAAAGGAAGAAAAGACCTAGATGTAGCAGCGATTGCCTGAGGTGTGACTTATAGTTTAATTTTTAGTCTTTTGTGCCAAATTTTTTTCTTCCATCAAGGTTATCACATAGGTATTGACGATTACTTATCCTCAACTGTTATTGGATCTATGTGCTCACCAGACTACTTCAACAAGCACATTGAGAGTCAAAAGGAATTACAAAACAGAGTTACCAAAAATCTGCATTGAAATAAAATTAAAAAACAAAGAGGTTTGCTAATATAGAAAAGGTAATTTGCTGTATGTGGCATACCAAGATAGTAAAAAAAACCTCTATTACTATCTACTGATGCCAAAGCGGGTTTCCCTAAATTGCAAAACAGAAAGTGAAATATGGCTGTGAAACCAAATGTTGTTGCTCTTTACAATAAAACCAGGGGCGGTAAAGATTTTGGTGATGCACCGCTCTATGTGTACTTGTCAGAGTGTAAAACAATAAAGTAGACAACAAAAGTTGCCTTATCTTTAGTTGGTAGGACAATATTAAATAGCTACTCATTGCATAAACTCAATACAAAGGAACATAAGCCAATTTCAAGGATAAATTTTATGATAGCAAAAGTGAAAAGTTTAGCAGGAGATTATATTCCAGTTAAAGTAATTTCAAAAAGATGAACATCTAGAGAGATTGAAATGGCTAAAAGTACATTTGAAACCATACTCATATCTCCAATACACTGCAAAAACAATATATTATATGCTGCAGAAAAAAAAAAAAATTCAAACTAAGCACCCAACTCGAGTCCAAACAAGTTGGCAGTGTTAGTCATGTGGTGCTAGACTGTCTCCAGCCTGTTTTTCTAATTACCACACAACAGTTGTGCATTAAAATCTATAAACTACTTTTAACCATATATAACCTACAAAAAAATAAAATTTAAAATTTTTTTGCTTTCTTGTTTATCTTTTCAATACTTTTTTTTTCCGAATACTTTTTAGTTTAATTTTTCTGAACGGCATTTGAACTTTATCAAGCGCTTAAAGGGTTAAATAAAATTTAAAAAAGTTGAAATCTTGTTGATGAATAAAAAATCTGTAATATAAACACCTACGTCACAAATTCCTAGTTTAGTAAGGCTCTAAAGATGGCGTTACTGGCGCAAAATAGTTTTTTAAAAATATTTGAGTAAAGTGAGCAAAATCGAGCCTTTACAATTTTAGACCGAAATATAACCACGAAGAACAAAATGGTCTACTGCTCTAATAGATCTAGGATTGGTTATTATATTAAAAGGTGTCGCTCCAATATCAATTTTTTTCAGTTCGATACCTAGTAAAATTATTTTTGTGTTGTCTGAATAATCTAATCAACTTTTGTTGCATCATCAATTGCTTAATTTTGATTCACCATTAATTTCTTTTATTTGATCAATACTCTGGATTAGTCATCAACGATGTAATTAAGCTTCAAACAAACTTACTGAATGAATATACATAAAAGTTCCACATGATTTAAAATCAGATTCAATATTGGTCTTTATCATACTTTTACCCCAGATTTTGTTTATAAGTCAAATTGGCCATGTTTATTATAACTTCAGGATGATTAGACATCATATCCTGAGCTGCTTTATTTTAAGTAATTTTGAGTAAATTAGGTATTGCTGGATTGCAAAGTTGAAGTTTGATTCACTTTTTTTTATGTTAATTCAGCATTATATGCGGCAATTGATAAACGTTCCATAAAGGAACTTTAGTATTGGTTACAACCCATTTTCAACTCTAAAACTCCGAAACACAAACTTTGACAACAAAAAAAGCCGCTAGGCAGGAAAAAAAGTTAAAAGTTAAAAAATATTATTTTAAGTTTAATAAAACTTAAAATAATATTTCTTGTGTAAAACTTTTATTATTTTTGAAATTTTTATAAAATTTCACTTCTTTTTTTATTTATTTTATTAATTTTTGTCAAGCAACCATTTACAGTTAAGGAAATTTCCGATAAAATATTTAAAAGTATTAAATACAAGTACATTTCATTGTTTAAAATAGTTACGAGACCAGAGAACCTGAAGAAGATAAAATCTTATCATCAGTAACCTTTGGTAATAAAAATTGGAAACAAAAGTGTATTGTTAGAAAAAATCATGTAAAGAATCTTGATTGGTAATAAGTTCGATTATGTCCTTTTTATACTTTTAAGAGGTGTTGGCTTCTTTAAGTTTACCACTCAGGCTTGTAAAATGGTTACATAGAATTGGGCCACAATGTACGGAAAGGTTTTTTAAATCTTCTGATAGATCGCGTGTTGTATCGGTTTAATGTTTTTAGGAAAATATTTTCGAAAACCTTCGGCGTTTTTTTTGACGGATGTTGAAAAATAAATTGTGTAATTTTTAAAATATTTAGTTTATAAATATCAAGTGCAATCATGCTTTTTAGAAAAGGTTTAGCATTTGTAAAGCGATTTTGAAAATGAATAATGCGTGCTGCATGATTCCGTTAAGGAGACAATCGAGTTTAGATTTATTTGTACTACCCCAAACAATATTGCTTATATTATATTATATTATATATATATATTATAATACTATAAGGTAAATAACTATTTATGATTCATTATTTGCTACTTGAAATAGAGAAATGATATTACTGCGAGAATAGAATAGAGTGGTGTTGTCTGCAAACATAATAATAGACATAGTATTTAATGCTTTATATAGATCGTTGAACAGCAGCGGACCTAAGATGGAGCTTTGTGGAACCCGACATGATTTTTTAAGTTTGCTTGTCTAAAAGCCATCATTTAGAGAAATTAACTGCTTTCGATCAGTTAAGTAACTGATAAACCATTTATGGTATTAGTGGGTTATTCCATAATATTTTAGTTTTTCTAATAAAATCTGATGGTTAACGGTGTCAAATGCTTTTGACAATACTAAGAATATACCTAAGGTGAATTTGTTATAAGAAGATGCTCCACTGATAACATCAACAAGTTGCATAAGTGCATGTTCCGTAGAGTAATTTGATCGAAAACCATATTGGTTATAATAAAAAAGATTGTTATCATACAAAATTGCACATACCCATGATACGTTTTAGATTTTTGAAAAAGCAGGCAAAACCGATATAGGTTGATGATTTGTAACCAGACTTTCATCTCCTGATTTAAAAATGGGTGCAATAATTGCAACTTTCATTTTATCTGGAAAAACACTTGTTTGAAGCGATTTGTTAAAAATATCTAATAAAACATCTTTTATAAGTTCATAGCAGTTTTTGATTATGCTTGCTGAAATAGAATCATAGTCTATTACTTTATTTATATTTAATTTTTTTATGAATCATCAAGTTCTTTACTAGTGAGTTTTTTAAATGCTAAGCTTTTATCCGACTTCGATAGATAGCTCAAGAAATG